AGGAGCAGCCCCCCAGGGGTGCGACTCCAGCCCAGAGCAGCAGCGTAGCACAGACCCAGCGCCCGAGAGTAAAACTCCGTCGCAGGAGCGCTGAGCACGGGGCAAACTTCAGCCACCGCTCACCTGTGGCCACCCCTGCCAGCTGCAGACGTAGAACTTTGGGGCAGATGCTGGGTACCCCAAAATTTGGAAACCTACACAGAGACCAAGGCTTGACACAAGCTCTGCAATGGTCATTTCTGTAACGATGCCAAAATCGGCTAAACCAGCACTGGAAGAAGTAACGAGTGCGGTTAGCCAATGGGGCTGACCCCATTTAGACGGGTGCAAGCTCCTGAGAAAGTCAGAGCTTCAGGTACTCACCATGGCCAAAGGCAAACCACGGCTCTGGAGAGCTGGCGCAAGGGAAAACCGAGGGAAGAGGCAGCTGAGGACAACTCCTTTTTATTAAAGAAAGCTTGAGTAAAATCACTTTTATTACATAAATATTAAAAGGACAGAAACTCGGGACAAGAAAAACACAGAAAATATTTACATGGACAAGAAACAGCGCTATAGAAATGGCTCTATGCAAAGCAAACCACAACTCGATAAATACTCCAGTGAAGTACTCCTAAGGGGAAGGGGAAGCTGGCGCTTCCCTGCTTCTGCTGAGGAAGCCGAGGGCTGGAAGGTCTGACCGTTCGGCGGCACCGAGGTGACAAACAAGCCTCACCTCGCAGGGGACGGCGCTCCTCGTGCAGCCGGGCGTGTGGAGGCTGAGGGGAAGTTCTTTGTCCCCAGGAACAAAGAGGCAGGAAAAGCCTCGCGGTGTGGAGCAGCCGCCCTGATCAGCAGCCGTTTTAGTGCCAAGTACGGCAGCAGAGCAGCTCAGCACGGGGGAACCTGCTGCCTTCCAACGCGTGCACTGGAATAACCAACCGGCTTTCCTGCAAGTTCCCGCAGTTCAAAGATCCTTGGATGGGGAATGTCCATCCTGCCTCTGTCTGTCTCCCCACGAGCCCGTCTCGCTCAGCCGCCACTGCAGAGACGCCCGTTCAGCTCTTTAACGGCACAAGGCATCGGCAGTCATGAGCGTCTCTTACCTGAAGACGACCTCTGGGCTGAACACGGGGTTTCTTGGCAGCCGGGCAGAAGATAAAACTGCCAACACTGAGCAGAGTGCGGAGACAAGTCTGCACAAACCTCCATTGCTAAATCTGAATTTAAAAAACCAAAGGCTAAAACTCAACATGGCAGAGGTTGAGCAAGAGAGGCTTGCACAGACACAAAGGACTGCAAAAGAGAAAGAAAAACACTAGCATGGAGTTCTGAATGCCCGCACCTCCCGTGTCACGTCTCTACGGCTGTGGAGTTAAAAGCTGACATATTTTATTACTTTTTAAGCTATCTAAAGAGAAAGGTAGCTATGTGAGAGGGTATTTTAAAGGATTTGATACGTTCTAAAGTCAACTTTACCATTAAAATAACCACAAAGTGTGAAAAGATTCCAGCTAGCTAATGGGCCAGAGGGAAGTGCATCAGCACTAGCTGGGCACATTGTTCACTAGAAAAGGGCAGGGGTGTTCCTGTTTAAACAAATCTAAAGTTATTTAAAACCAAGAAAAATAGAGCTGTATTAACTTGTAACAAACATTTTGGGACTAGCTTAAATTCAGTGGAAAGATTTCCTAGTCTGAGATGTTGTTCTTTGGTCAGAGCTTGTCAGGAGCTCTGCTGAAGGCTAGTTCGTAGATCGGTTTGGATCAGCAGTTTAAAATCTTCATAAAAATTCAAAACATATCATCCTCATCGGACTCCTCCAAGTACCGGACAGGCTTTTTGAGACGTCCAGGTCTGGTACGGGGCACAGCTGCTACGGGGCTGTCTGCAAGAGCTGTTGGATCAACAGTAACGCTACCATTGTCTTCCAGCCTGGATTTCTGGAGGGAAAACAGTCGAGAAGCGAATCATGAATCCGAGTATAAACAGGGAACACTCACTTAGCATAGAACGCACCACTGTGCCACGGCTGAGGCGGCTGCTCGGACTGATGAGCCCAAACCAACAACCTGGGAGCGGTATGTGTGCCAACCCCCCCTTCTCACCCACCTTCCCCACAGCCAGCAATAAAGACGGGTGTCGCGCAGGAGCGTCTACCTCTACCGTGCTTTTTCTGCCAGAATAACCGACACTGCACGCCGTGGTACCCCCTCGGCTCTAACGGGTGGCGGGGTACAAACCTTTGCTGCGACTGATTTGGAAGGCTTTGAGCCAAAATCTGAATCTGAATCTGAATCCAAAGAACTTGGCTGCCTTTTGACAACTTTCCACCCCTTGGTCTGGCCAGGCTTCTTGTCACCCGCTGCTCCAGTCTCAGAATCCAGGGATCCCTCCTTCGCCGCCGGCTTGCTGGCTTTGGGCGCAGCCTTTTTCTTGGCTAGAATCTCCACGATGGACGGCTGGTTATCTGAAACAGAACTCTGCCTTTAAACCCCTGTTTTGCTGCCTCTCTTCTCACTCACAGCCTGTGAATCACTTCCAACACAAATACAGCTCTGCACTACACTGCGAGGTCAGCACACAGGTCGTCTCATTTTTGAAGCATGGTTTTCTAGAAAGATTGCTCTTTACCAAAATTATGAGAAATGAGGTTGTTTATCTGCTTAGTTCCACTACATTTAGAGGATCAAATTAAAGCGTACCCAAAGCCATTTACAGACTATTTCAGACTGAAAAGTCCTGAACTCTCCAGGCTGCATAACCCATCTTAGACCTTCAAAGCTTTGGCACAGGGAAGGAACGAATTTACCATCTATACTAAACAGTTACTTGTGGAGTTCTTCCTTACCTATATTTTGACATTTTTTTAACAGCATCTTGAAGCATGTCTCCAAGTTAAGCTGAAATGAGCAAGCCATTTCTGAATGATAACAGGCTTTCTCAATTTAGAAGTGGAAGAAACAGCTATTTTGCTGTGAAGTAACGTACTATTTTACTGCTGGGATCAAACCCAGCTAGTGATGGAATATGCAAAACAGCTTTCAAAATCTGACAAAGACTCTGGGCAGTTAAGTTTAAAAAAACCTGAGTCAAATGCTGTAGATTTATGAGGTCGAACTAGCGCTAAATGGAACAAGCCACCCCAAAGAAGCTTTTCTTCTTCCTGGGAAGCAAGCTACCAAGCAGCTTTCTTCCCAAACAGACATGAAGTAGAACATTGACTGCAAGACATAAATTCCACTCAGATTATTTCTGCCAAGTATTACATAGCACTGTAGGAAGCATTCACTTTTCCTGTTCCCAAACTAAAATTCACTCCCTTCAAGCATGTCTGAGATGAACTAGAACATGACATGTTTGGAAACAGACTTCTTTAAAAATGACAACAACCAGACAACCTTTGCCACAAACCTCAGATCTTTTCTGAAATGAAAACTCAAGTTACTCAGGCCTCTGAATGCCTAGCAAAATCACTCAGACTTGTTTCCCACAGGAATAATAATTGTTATTTAAAAATGACCTTACTAAACTTTGCCTTACCCTTGGTGGCACTGGCCTTCTTAGCTGCAGGTTTTTTAGATACAGCCTTACTGCTAGGCACAGAGACAGAAGGAGCTGCAGGAGCTTGACTCACATTTTCGTTAGCAACATCTTGGACTTGAACTGAATGAAGAAAGCAGAAAATAAGTCTGAAATGGTCAAACCATCTACTCTGGCCACAGACATTAGAGCAGAAGAAAATCACTTTGATCCACTTTACAAAAAGAGCAACTATTAAAACTGGATTAATTACAAATTCAACTTGGACAAGTCTGGTGCACTGAAACCAGCTTGTACGCTGCCATCAAAGTTTCTTTGCAAGATCTTGTGACTGACGGCTGCCCTTGTCAGTGTTGAGCGCTGATCAGAACGCCCAGTGCGCTCTCCTGGGGTTTTAGGAAAATCGACAAGCTTTAGAAGGTCTTGTACTCACCAGGGATAGCGCTTTGCACTGGCTTTTGCTTGGGAGCTTTAGCTGCTTTTTCAGTGGTTTCCCTAGAAAACAAAACCACAAGTATTTTTTCCAACTTAATATGCACTAAATCCGTGCATTGAAGAAAAAGAGGCAGTAATTTCTATATAGCATTAACACCAGAAGCACAACTAATTTCCAGTGACTACGTGGAGAAATACTCACTTCGGAGCAGCTCTGGGCTTGGGAGGAGGTTTTTCTTTTGAGTTTGTATCCGATTCAGAGTTGCTTTCACTGTCGCCATGAAATTCAGACTCCTCATCTGAGCTGGAGAGATTTTCATCTGAGTCCGAACTGATTATGGTCTTGACTTTGGCTGATGAAATGACACAGATGTATTATTTTACACATTTGGCAATATGCATTTCAGTTTCTTTTTCAATATTTTAGCTGCAGTTACTAAAAAATAAAGATCCAAATAAAAACAAGCAGATACTGAGATTGCCAGTGAGAAGACTCCAAATCACACATTTCCTGTGCGCACTTACCAACAGAGCATTTGATTTGCCAAGACAGTTGTGTAATTAAAACCGATAACCTTATTTCTCTAGTTTTTCCTTGAAAAGCATTGTGAAAATCTGCTCAAATGGTAGAAATATTTAGTTGTTATATACAGTAAAATAAAAAAGCCTCTTATAAAGCATTTCTGACTGAGACTCTGGAAGCTCTCTAAAGAGTTGGTTCAATTTTCTCCTCCACAGAGTGCCCCTCTTCCGCATTTGAGTTGTCACTCACCTGCTGCCTGGCGAACCACTCTCTCTCTGCGAGGAGGCACTTCAAAATCAGACTCTGACTCAGACCCTGAGTCAGACCAAGGGTTTCGTTTCTTCATTTTCTTTAATGGCTTAAACGGTAGAGTGGCCTGTCTCTTAGCACCTGAAAAACATTGGGAGGCAGGATGAACCAGCAAGCTTCCATGTGTACTTCAGGCTCAGCAGTTCATGCTCAACTTAGAAATACATCAATGAATTCAGAGGATTCTGGCTTAAACATTGAAGAGAAATAGTAATCTAGCCTGCTCGATTACTTTCCAGGATCACTTTCTCTCTCACCCAGTTTTTCCAAAAATACCGATCCTAGATATTACTCATGACCTTCAGGAAAAGGTCAGATAACCAAATTTACAACCCTTCCCCTCACTTTCCGTTGATGGAATAACATAGAAAAGCATTTACCTTGCTCAGTATTAAGCTTCTGCGCTAATCTCTGCTTCAGGCCTGCAGATTCTTTGTCTCCTGATGTGTTTTCTTCTTGATTCTCATCAAACTCATTTTTTTCACTCTGAAGATACACGCAGATATCAAATAGATAGCAAGTCAGCTCACGCAATTAGAAGAGGTACACAGAGTAACGTAGAAAGGAGCTGCTTATTTTAGATGTATGAAAGTTAGTGATACAAGAAACCTGAGTTTGTGAAACAAACTGTGTGTAAAACTGATTACAGCCAAGTACATCAGACACGATTTCTCCCCAGATCAGGTGACTTAAAATGCAAAATCCAACATTAACAAAAACAGGAACTTTGTCCCCACTCCTGAAAGCGCTTTGGTACCGCCTTTGTGTGCTGATGGTACGGCTCTAGGGTGTGTTGAGGATGCAGAATTGAACGGGGTGGGTTAAAAACAACAGTGCAAGTTATTTGGAAAAACTGTTAGATGGAACCATCTGTAGGAAAGGAGCAGTATGTCTGGCTTACAGGTCAAAACAGGTGAGGGATATTTTAATTTTCTATGTTGCAAATGGCTGAATGGCATAATTTCAACTAGCCCTATAAAAAAAAGAATTAAATCTTCTTTATCTCCTTGATGTCAAGAACAATAATGGCATTAAGTGGCTGAAAGCATTACTGGAAATGCAACGGCTGTTCTAGAGGAGTGAATTGACTAGCTGTACTTCCTGCCTGTTAGAGGATTTATAAAATCCCCGAGACACCTAGAACAACCTTACTTGCAGCTGCCTTTTCATTTCTAAGCCACCAACCCACCTCTGACATTGTGATATATGCTCTCGCCAAAAGATTTCCCTCTAAGCAGCCTCCCGGTACATTAGCAAATCTGTTCTCCTTTAGACTGAGAAACATCCATTTCCAGTGTTCCCCATGTCCTAAGATTCTGTCCCTCTCCCTGAAGAGCTGCTTCATCAGGATCAGTTCAGCTAACAAGAACTTGCATTTCTTTAGGACTGTACTGAAGAGGATGTAAAGAAAGATTAAGCATTCAGAAGGTTCCTTTTTACCTTTATTTTCTTTTTAGTTCTCTTCTCTGCCTCTGCCTTCATCTCTGCAGTTATCCGAGGAACAACCCTTATGCCATGAGGTGATGGCATTACTTCTGACAGTTGCGTCTTCTTCACCTTCGTTTTCCCTCCTTTCACCTTTAAAGGTTTACCAACACACCCCGTCATCTCATCCTGAATTTGCTTGGCTTCCACTGCCTGCAGACGCGAGCATAAAATCAAACAACCATGAGAATACAAAAGAAACAATGTACTACTGAAAAAAACCCACCACCACAGCCCTTGCAGTAAAGCACGCTATATTTCCCGATAGATTTCCTACCATCGGTTTAAATGAAGCTTCCTACTCTGCTACAGATTTGCACATTTTCAAGCAATGATTTAAGCCAGAGCTGTAGTTGGGTTACTTGAGGAGTAAGAAGAGACACAGGCAGTGACCGGCAGTGACGGTGCAGAGATACCTGCCCACAATTTGGGCTCTGTTCAGTGAAGGCCAGCTCCTCCTCCACCTTTTCAGTGTCCAAAAAGCCTTTTGATCTATATCTTCTCAGACTATATCCAAGTACTGCTTTTCCCTCAAGCCTTCCTAAAACTCCTCTTCACTACTCAGAATGGTAATTGACCGCCTTCCAACAGCAGCCTGGGTGTTTCGACTCCCTGGCCCAAAGCAGTGCTACTCCTATCCAAGCCAGGAAGGTGAAGAAGGCTTTTCATTCTCCTCAATGAGTGCAAGACATAGGAGTTATCATTTTTAGTTTCCTCGTTATGACAAAAGAAGACAATAAAGAGCTGGTGGATAAGACTACAAGGGAGTCAGTCAACTGCATGGAATATTGACATACATCAAGTTCTTCAACAAAGACAGCAAGGTCTTCCTTCCATAGATCAGAGGGACTCTTGCTCTTAAGGTTTTCCAGCTCCTTTTCCTAAAGGGAATCACAGTTGATAATCATTAGTCACATAGTTTAATCCACCAACAGAAAAACCCCCACTATATAACAATGCTTTTATAAGAGGAGGAAGGAACGTACTTTGTTATCTCTCTGCTTACAGAGCTCATCTTTCTTCTCTTTAGTCAGATACCAAAGGGGCATGTTCAGCAGATAGTTGAAGTCTGGTCCGGTGGCTGCAGCTGATTCGTCACTCTCCTCCTCCTCCTCCTCTTCTTCCTGAATGTGGATTTAAAACAAACATTGTCCACAAATATATTGACATAGAAGGGTAGGGCTATTGATCAAATTTGGACTGCATCACAAGTACTCCATGTGCTTATGGTGTCCTAGACTCTTCTAGAACAATTCAGAAATGAATAGTTATGCTTCTTAAAACCTCAACTGCTATTGCACAGAGGAATTCATCTGCAAAAACAATTCTCCAAATATCTTTTGCTCTACTGTATTTGGCCTCTCTGTTGTAACAGTCCAGATTCTCTTCTCAGGCTCCTTAAAGCTGTCATCTTCCTCACAGCCCTCCCACAACTGTGTCCCACAGGCGAAAGGAATAAGGAAGAGCAGAAATTGCTGTGGCAAGAGGACTTGACCTGGCAGACTCCAACCCGAATGACTAGGTCTCAGTGCCTTCTGAACAAGAGACTGGATTTCTGCTTGTCTTATGTTTCCTATCACAGACATACCAGAGACGCAAGCTCTCGAATCCTACAAATTGAGAAGCAACTTGGGCTTCTTCATACGAATTATGGCAATAGGGGTCAGTTTGGATCTATTTAGAGAGGATGACTGAAGCATTACCTTGTTTTGTGAATCCTTCCAAGCCTTCACTGGGTCAGATTCGTACCCTCTCTTGATAAGAACTTGAATCAACTCTTTCTTGGGTTTGTTTTCTGTAAACAGACGTTTCAGGATTGTCAGTTAGTGACCACTACCAATCGCTGTTAGGAAAGACAAATGAGCTTTACATTTTGGATCCCACAGTTCTAGCAGCTCAGCATCCTATTGGGCTCTAAAATAGCCTTTCCTCATCAGAGGTGGGACATGTGGAAGAACCTGAAATAACACCTAAAAAGTTCCTACTTAGCGGTGATGTCAGGTCAGCATTGCTCCTATACCTGTCAGGAACACCTGCCAGAGCACTGTAAATATTTTTTTTCTTCATTTCCATATATGCATTTCTCTTGCCCTAAGTAGTTTTTGAACTTGGAAAAAAAGGTGTGGTGGTATCAAAACATTTTCACAATAATAGGCAGGCAGGTGGAGGAAAAAAAAACCCTGATAGCACTCAAAGGCTTTGGTGTACCTTGCACCTCTTTAGACATCACCTGGAAAATTTATGCTACAAGTGGCCCAGCCAATGGAAATGCTTCAGCTGGAGCTTGTTCCTTTTTGAGACACCAGAAGCAATCAACCATGAGACACAAACACAAATGAAACCAGCTCTGTCAGCCTTGGAACTACTTATTACAAAAAAAAACAAGAAAATGCATTTCAAGGGAATTATTTCTCTTCCTGAGTCAAGTCAGACAGACACAGGCTGTTGGGATTATTGGGCTGCCTTCAGACACAAACCACAAAGCATCTTATGACACTTTGTCTAGTTGCATCCTCCACGAATGCAAGTGAAACACAGACTGCCTTTGAGGCTGAGGTGGAGAAGTTAATTGAAAAATTTGAATGGTGGGAACAAAGATCTGTTTCTTTTTCTAGCTCATGATTCTCAGATGCTGCCAACTTGACTACCTTCTAAGTTTGAAACCCCAATCCGCTGAGAACATGATTTGGAATATTTTTGCAGAGGTTCACAAAGATAACACAGAGAGATACGGGTTCTTAAGAAGCATGCATTTGAACAGAAAACACTACCTCTTTCTAACCCCACCAGTACTTAACTCTTATTCCTACTGAGTCAGAAATAGATAGGAATTATTGCTAAACTATTAAAAAATTCTACTCTCAATATAGTGTCAAACACGCAGTGGGAAAGCTGTATGAGTATCCCATTTTAATTAATACGTGCATAATGCTCTACAGACCAAGCATACTCTGTGAAGCATTTTCCTCTTTTATGTTACTGGAACAGAAAGATAAGCTCTGGTGTAGTTTGTTAAGAGTCAGTCCGGCGCTGAGGGGGTGCTGACAGAACTCAAGGGAGCACCCTAGTTGTTCTCCCCGTTTCATAAACTAAGTGCCCAAGAACAATGCATACCGATCACAATTTTGCCATCTATTTTCTCCAGGATGAAACGAGCCTGGTTGCTCAGTTTTGCAGACTCGGCACCTAGCATTCCAATAAGCCATTCTTTTCTCAAATTGTAATATCGGAGTCTGAGTTCAAAGAACTCTTTGAGAATATCCTGGGGAGAGTCATACTTCTTGAGAAAGCCAACATGGTCAAAAAGAACCTAGATGAAAGAACACAAGCATTACGATGATAAAACTGATTTCCAAACCCACTGCAAATTACCTAGAGCACATCTGTGATAGTAAAATGGAATTATTAGCCAACAAATTATAAAACCTTAGTGTTGTTTTAGAAATTACTTCAGTTTGCAAGCACAGCAGCAGAGACAATCTTGGAATTTCAAAGTTCTTGAAAACACGTAGTAGGGTTACGGTTACTTGAATCTTAAAGCTATCTGTAGGATAAACATCTCACATCAAGCTTCACACATTGTCAGAATCCAGACATTCAATGGCAGTGCTGTTGTCACAACAAAGGTCTCTGTAAATCGTGTGATTTCGGATCACTTTGACTCCTTCAGGCAAAACCTTACCACTCTGGGCCCGTTACCAAGCCAGTCTCTTGACCTTTTAAAGGTATATTTAGAAAGCTGATTTAAAATCAGTAACAGCAGAAAAATCAAAGTGAATAGGTTACTGCAAAAGAGCATTTTTGTTACACACAGCAACTGCAGCTGTCCACACAGTCTTTGAGTTAAACCAAGAACTTTCTTCAGTAAAATCTATTACATACCATGGAGTTGCATGTTAAATTTGTTTGGAGTTTGAAGACCTTGTGCAGCCCCACTGCTTCAGCTTCAGCTAGTTTTTCTTCCGTCATCTTCACTACAAACTTCACTGTCGTGTCTGTGTGATATTCTTTATAGTCTGTGATTAGTGGGGGTGTCTTCTCAGTCCCATTTAACATTGGCTCCAGAACTTGCTCTTTATACGTCTGAGAAAAGAATCAAAGTCAGACCCGTGTTTTCCATGGAGATGAAAAGCTCCAAATCCCACTAATCACTTTTTGCTTTACAGGGCAAACTATACATTCCTAGGGCAAATTCACTGTTTATTACCTGTGTCCATGTTCTGACAGGCAGCTCAGTGATCTCAATGGTTGTAGAATCGAGGATAGACACTTCACCACTTATCACATACTGATTAGGTCCCAGCTCATCTATCGTGCCTTTGAAATTCTTGTAACTAGGAAGCTAAGCAGAAGAGAACACTGGATTCAGCTTTGTGTCGATGCTTCTGTTTTTAAGCACTTGCATGAAATGCTCCAATATGTGCTGAATAAACGAACAAGTGAGACTTTTTTAAAAAGATATATTATTTACCATTGGCAATAGCTCTTCTCCATCCATCAGACGACGGATATTATTCACAACTTCCCTGATATCAAAGTTGGGGATCTTACAGGACCAGCCAGTACCAATCCCTTCTGCCCCGTTTATCAGCACCATTGGAATGATAGGCATATACCATTCTGGCTCCACACGTTGATTGTCATCATATAGGAACCTCAGTATATTGTCATCCGTTGGTGGGAACAGCAACCGTGCCAGTGGGCTAGAATAGAAAAGAGAATTTAAACCCAAATTCTTGTTACAGAACAGTGACCATCATGCAAAAAGAACCCCCCTGAAAACAAACAAAACCCACAAATCAGTATTCCTATCAGTCAACCTTAGCCATACAGCCTGGGGGTCTATGTTAGGAACCCAGGCTTCTACAGTAACACTCCAGAGACACATCTTCAGCAACCTCACCAATCTCTACAGTTTCCGCTGACTATATGGGACCCTAAGCTCATACTTTAAGTATGTAAATTAGACAATGTCTGGGAAGGCTTCAGTTCTCTGTACACCTTGCTTTAGTACAACCATACATGTGCTCAAGTAACAGATTTGATCAAGTTCAGCCTGGGTGCACCATTAGGCCATGGAAACCACAGCGCTGTACTTTCAGATACTACAACTTCATTCTCCCAACTCGAGTTCATTTTTTATTATCCCACCCAAATTTCCCCCTTTGTTTTCGCTCCCATTTCCATATTGTCTGCTCTGCCTTTCTGTTCTCTGGGATGATAACCAAGTTTACATATCTGAATCTAGGATCCAAATTTACTTTGTTGTTGCTACTCTGAGTATGCAAGCAGTCCAAAATTTTAAAGGGAAAAAGTAAATTCATTTTTCATTTTAAATGCCATCAAATTGAGTCCAGTAACATGCTAAGAGCATTTAAGACAGTAAGAAATTTTTAATGCTGACCTGAGCATTGTAAAGATGTATCGAGGGCTGGCAGAGTCTTTCCCACCATGCAGCCTTGTGCCAAACTGACCGATAGGCTGTAGCAAGTTGAGGTTGTTACTGCCCACAAAGTTCTGAGCTAAGTTAATAATAGTCATCATCAGCGATGCCTGCAATAAAGGAAGGTTTAAAGCTAAAATTGCAGAATTTTTCACTGAATGGACAAAGTTAAAGTCAAAATTCACACCAACAACAGAACTGGTATAGAGGATTAACTCAACTAATAAAATACCAGAGGAAAGTACATCCCAAGATCCTCTAGTCTGGATGACGATACATATTCCAGTGACCCACCACATATTGCTGTCTACCTGTTCTTGAAACCTCCAATGAAAGATTCTATCAGTCTCCCAAGAGAAGCTTGTTTTAGTACTTAACTTCTCCTTACCAAGGTAGAAAGGCTATTAACATCTGCCTAAATCTATCACAAATAAAGTGGGTTTTTCCCTGTTCTACAATTTGAATGAAATATATGCCCATAAAGCATAGGTAGGACAGGCAGATCGACCATTAAATTAATACTTAAATATTAATAGCGGATATACAGCCACTTTGCTTTGGTTTTTATACTCAAATATCTAATCCTGCTTTAGAGGCATCTTAACTATCAAGTCAACAGAAGGGCTTTTTTGCCTTTCATTTAAACAGCATTTTGCACAACCAGGTCAGGCTCTTACTTCACCATGATGGTATGAGGACATCTCAGCTACAGAACCAGCCAGTTGAGCAACCTTCACCTCCCGCTTATCATTTCGCTTGAAACATGTGAACAGAACTTTTCTTTGCCCTGGCTTCAAACCTGTATAAAAAAGAAAAGATCTGGTGATTAGAATGCACCATACGTTTCACTTAGCTTCTGCTCTCTAGAGACTAGGAACTTCTTATACACCTAAAGATTCTATACCAGGAGAGCATGGTGCTTGCAATAACATACTACAAAATGGACAAGACATTTAATCCAAAGATTAAAAAACTCGGACAGCGGAAAACAGACTTCAGAACACCGACCCTGAAAACTCAGCAGGTTCCCTGATTCTGATGGTATGACATACAAACCCCCATTTATTAATGGGTGGGGAATGCACTGTGCAAAGTCACTGTCTTGAAATAACTTACCATCAACCAGAGATGGGATTGATCTTTCATTATCCGAGTTTGAGAACAGCACTAACTCCTTGTTGATGAAGTCATTGTATGTCAGGTAATTAGTATTTTTCCCATACAGGTATTCCTAAGAAAAACAGGTGCAAGATTGCCATAATTTTAACAAAGTCTAATCTGTTTCTTAGCTCATACTTGGCTAGTTTCACTAAAATGGAAGCTCCTTGTAAGACTAGCTAAACACTGCTCAAGTGCTGACATTCTCAGCATTGCAAAGTGAAACATCTCTTCCCATGATGCAGGCCCATTTTTTGAGAAATAGTCTTCATACAGTCCAGCTCAAGTTATCATTTCCCTATTGATAAACCAATTTGAAAGACGAGAGCTGAAAATGAAATTAACTGTTGGACAATTGACAATGAGGCTACACTGATCAAATGAGAGAAGAAGCTCCTCTGTAAAATCCTGAAACATTAGAACTGGCCTGTAATCCGGGGACTGACTCGCCAACTCGGAGCTCTGTGCAGCTCTAGCGTGCCAGAATGAAGCTGAGAACAGCCCCGGAGAGAGACAGGAAACCAGTCTCCTTCACATACGTAAACCTTTTACCTCTGGCAGACCGTGCAGCTTCCGTTGTCTTCTGTCTTCCATGAAATTAGTCAGCCACTCCTTTCGCTCTTCTACCTTCTTCTTGCTAAAGGCCTGTATGTTACAAAATGAAAAGCAACTCAGTTCTGGGACATTCTGTGGTGTGCCCTATTGGATCACTGGGGAAAAGAAAGCATTTCACCCAGGAGAATAACATGCTAAACAGGCTGACTTAATAGCCCAAGAAGTGCAATAAAAGGTTCTTGTAGCTAAATATATTAAGAGCATAATTTCCACCAGTCTTTAGGAGACATGGTAGTTAGGTTTAAATGTGTTGATTTTTAACATAACAGAAAACTAAAGCAGATTTGGTGGGAAATTAATATTTTGGGGAAAACGGTGGTTTTTTGGCATTGCCTAATAGCTCAGCATACTTAAGAGTCGATGTCTACTGAAGGTGAACAAGTTCACAGAAGCAAGGGCTGTTTTAATCCACTGGTGAACCATTTTACAAGAAAATCTGGGGGAGAAAGGGGTGGTCTGACTTGGAGAAAACCGCAACAGAATATGCAGAAAAATCTTAAAGGAATATTTACTATTGTGTCTGAAAATGTCAATTGGTTTGTAGTGATTAGTTTGTTCTGAGCTATATTTAAAAACTATCATTAAAAGGGTACTCTTGGCCTGAGGTCTATGGACAGATTTGCTTCTACTGGTCAGACTAAAGCCGTAGCCTTGGTAACAAAGAGATTGTCTCAAGCCCAAAGGCCTCTAAGAGCATTTTAAGAGAAAATACACAGCACTCTAAGCAGTAAAATACCAAAGGTAGTAAGTCAGCAATTAAATCAAGTGTTAGTTACCAGGGTGATCGCAGCATCATCTTCAGGACCAGAATACTTGAAGCCAATTCGATGTTTAGCCATATCTGCAAAGTATTCTTTAGCCTCCTTCGATGTGCTGGTACCCAAACCTGCAGAGATAGTACTAGTTAATCCTAATAACTTCTTGCTTAAGTTGAGTTGCAGTTCAAAGAAGTATTTTGCTCTGCCTAGTTTCTGTGATGCATCATATAAACATACAGCATGAAGATGACTTACTGAAAACTTACGTTATTTTAAAATGAGATGTAAGGTATCACAAAAATCGCAAGAATTACAGATAAGTGAGCAGTGGCATGTTGTATGTTTGGATTTGGTCTGTAACTCCTGTAGATACCTGAAATTATTAACTGCAAATTGGAAATGGTTCCTCATCATCTAGTCACTGTTCTGCAGTTGGAAAGTTTCTTACTGTTATTAACCAATTCTGGAGTAAGCACTTACGGTGCTAACAGTACACAAGGACTGCACTATGGAAAATAGCACACGAAACTGAGCATAATCACCTAAGAGGGCTGAAAGAATTGTTACCTATAATATTGTAGTTCCATTTTGAGAGATTTTATTGCGATTTTATTAGGTTAGAGGTTCTCGTTTCGTTACTTTTATATTTTATGTTGCATGTATTCGTAATCAGAATACCTTAGAAGGCAAGAGGCTTGATGGACACCCGATCCAAAGCCTTTCTGCAAGCGCAGGGCTAACTGTTAAGGGACAGAATTGACCAGACGTACATAAAATTCTTCTACACTAACTGAATTTAATCATGAATGCTCTTACTTGGATCATTTAGTTTCACCACATTAAGTTTTCTACAAACCTTTATAGTACTTGATTTTCCATGAATTGTAGTTCTGTGTACTGCTTTTCCATTCTTCAAATTCAGGAATGCTGTAGAATGCAATTTCTTCTTTGCTTTTAGAGGCCTACAATGAACAAATATTTTAACTGTGAAATGAGAGGCAGATTTGGACCAATGATCCTTACTCATTTGCCTTACTATCTACCCAACCCTTACCTTTATGATGGGAGTAATAAATTCCTCCAAAAAGTTGTGTCTTAGAAGAGATGGCCAGTTGTGATGGATGAAGTTAATCAGCAAACCTTTGATATGCGATCCATCTTGATCCTGATTAAAAAAGAAAAGAAGAAAAGATATATTTGATCAGGGACATGATGGAATTGACAATTGTTAGCTTAATAGCAAATGATTCTATAATTCCAGCTAACTGACCCTATTAACTTTCACTTCTAAAAAGGTGACCATGTCTTGTTTAACTACTGAAAATTCAGAGAAACAGAAAAGGCATATTATTCTTGGTCAAAAAAGGTATCAAGGACTGGTCAAGGACCTTCAATCAGCAGACTGGAAAGACAGTACTTAGCTATTTGGTGATGCTACTCCCGCCCCTACTTTATCTGTTTTGTTTTGAGGTTGAAAAGACATTACAACCCACTAAAATGTAGAATGATAAAAAGAAACAAATACAGAGAGTTAGGTACAACAATGGCAGTGGGCGAAAGGTAGTATTTTCTTCTGTCCTCTGTATTCAAGTGTTTTTTTTCCTCTCCCAGTTCTCAATTTTAGTGAGCCTAACCTGATCTGTCATAATCATAATCTTTCCGTAGCGAAGACTCTTTAAAGATTCTTGATCTTCATAGTTCTTTTTATACTGTAAACCCACAATCTTGATGATGTTGTTGATTTCAGCGTTTTCCATAATCTGGAAAAGATCACACGGAATGAAAACTTGTCTTTCAGACTTAAAATGTAGCTCAAAAAAAGTCTAACATTATCCATAAGTATACCATTGACCGAGCTTTGTCTTGTCAATGTTTTTTTGGCTGTTTAGAAACTTATCATTTCTAAACTAATTAAGTCTAATGCTTAAATTATTCTAGATAATTCCAAACATTTTCTAGTCCACACCACAAACACTACCCCTTCAGGCAAAACACCGAACAGGACTTAATCAATATTCCCACCTAACCAGCAAGGCAGACTGAAGCTCAGACTAGACTCAGGCATTTAAGACATTATTCTTCTGAGTTAGTGTTCCAGGTGTTCAGCTGTACCGACTCTGTTAAAACACATTGCGTTACACAAAGTGTACCGCACCTTCTAACATGCAGACTATAACGATTTTCCAACTAACCTGCTTATGAGAAGCTTCTCTGACGTTGAGTATTTTCCCACGAAGGGGAAATACTCCATATTTGTCTCTACCAACCACTCCTAGACCAGAGACAGCCAGTGTCTTGGCCGAGTCTCCCTCGGTCAGGATAAGCGTACAATCTAAAGAATTCTTGCTGCCTAAAAGAAAAAAAAAAATCAAGACAATTTTCTAACTAAAAAGTGAAATCGAAGCCTGCATACTCAGAAATTGAATGAGAATAAATATCTTCTAACACATACAGGTTTTGTTGCACTGCACAGTAAATCGGGGTAAACATAGTAAATGGGACTGTGAAATGGCGATAAACTATAATTACAGGTTTTCTCATTTTTCCTTAGGAGACAATTCTTTCATTTGTCTAACAAACAGGTTTTAACTGTTTTTGAAGGAATTGCTTACAAAGGATGTAAAACACTTACCAGCATCATTGGCATCATCCAGTTTAGGAACACCCTTAATCTTAGTGTGTTTCACAGCCGAACATTTCTTATTCAGCTGGCTCTGAGCTTTAAATTTTACCCAGTTTAGGATACTTTCAACAATGCCACAGGCAGCTGCCTGCAATACAAAAAATAACCCAAAACAATTGTGGGAAAACCCTTAACAGTGACAGAATTTTTCATCACGTTACTTCAAAAGTGTATATTTGCCACCTTAAACATAAGATGCAGTTTAACAGACTTCTTGATTATCTGTGTATATCAATACTTACAGCCTTAGTAAATTTTTCACTCAGTTTACAGGTTGAGCCAAAGTTCTTTGGCTGCAGAGTCATGTTCTCCTTAGTCTGAGAGTCAAAGGTTGGGTTTTCAATTAAGGCATTCACAAAAATCCACATGTGGTTCTTCACCTACAGTTAAATACAACACATTAAATACAAGCATCACATATTATACAGGCTCATCTCAGTAACAGCATCCTGACATTTGCCTGTTAGAATCACACAGTGAGGAAAAACTCAATTATTACTGTATGTTTTTGAATTTTCCTAGATGTCTTGAAAGAATTTAGGACAGCTAATGAACATTCATGAGCAATGTTATATGATTTGGGATGTCAAGGAATCAACAGCTCTCAGCCTAAATAGATATTCTCTAACAGATATCGAGTTTTAGTACATCTACACTGACTTTAGTACATCTACACTACAGTGTTCTGATTACAAAATACACCAGCCAAACTAAGAAAAGATTGTTAGTTGGCTTAAACTGGACAATATGAGACTTCTATAACTAGCAATTTTATATATATAGTCTGTATCATGGAAATATGCATTATTAATCGATGTAGTAATGCATTAAGCTGTAGTTACAAGTTGCAATAATGCTAGTCTTGTGTTTCCCACTGGGGAAATTCTGACATTGTACCTGAAAAGGCTTCACTCCAACTCCGTTTTTGTTCTTCTTTTTCACAATATCAATGAGTTTAGTCACAAGCTGGTCAGCTACATAGTCAACGTGCCTGCCACCCTAAGGGAAAACGGGACCAAAGACTTGGTGGTGATTCCACAAAGAAAAAAATATGCATATCTATTTAAAACTTTAAGCATTGTCTTTGCAACATTAAGCAACTAAGTATTTTTCACTAACGTGCATACATTTGAAAGCAGCTAAGAATATTAATGATGAAGAATATGGCATTAGTTTGAATAATTAAACTAAAGAGTAGTTACCTTTGTAGTGGCAATGCTGTTGACGAAGCTAACTTGCTGGAAGCCTTTGTCACTTAAAGTCAAACACACTTCCCATCGAGAATTTACTTCCTCGTGGATAACCTTAAGTGCATTACCAGTTTCATCTACTTTGTCCTTCAGATAGAGGTCCACGTAACTGCGGAATCCTTTCACCTGCATACAGATGAAAGCAGACAACTCATTTCTAACTGCCCCTATAAATACTTAATTCATATCCTCCTGAAAACGGGTAGAGAAATCACTCACGCAAACTTTCCCTTTACTATGTGTAATGACATAAATTGGTTCAACAAAATCTCATTGTTTAAATGGCACGGAAATACAGGTATTACTGTTTCTTTTAAGTGCTCACTTACAGGCAGCCTCTGTCCATTTAGGAAAACTTTGACATCCTTTGTGGATCCAGCAATATCATATGCTCTTCGAGACATTAGTGCTACAATGTCTTTATCAAGAATTTTCATTTTGAATTTTGACAGATCAGGTTGGAAAGTGACACACGTGTAATCTTCTCCGTCAAAATATTTTAGTTTCATTTCACCAGCCCTTCCCATGTTGTCTGTCCAGGTCTGAGAAAAGGAGGTTTTGTGAGTTGCAAGTCTAACACACACAAGCAACTAGCTTAGTTTTTAAAAGCAGCAAGCTGATCTATGAGTTTCAAATACTTTCAAATTAAAAAAACCCATTGGTTAAAAACTAGATTCTGACTATGTCTGGTCATTTCATTATTCATTTGAATTATATTTTGTGGTACAGTAACTGTGGGTCATATTTATTCTAATCATGGTGCACTGAATGCAAGTTACGCCTAGATTTTTGGACCAAAAACTTAGGGTCTTATTTGAAAATCTTGGGTATAATCATACTGAAATGAGAAGTGCTCATACCTGCTTGAATAACTTTTTGTATTCGCGACATGCAGTTTCCACAGTAAATTTTGTGCTAAATATGTTGCACAGTTTGGCTCCATAACCATTTCGCCCACCTGGAATTAGAAGAAAAGCAGACTTGTGTTATCACCTTTGTTCAAAAACACCTAAAAGAATTCCAGACTAACAGGAGTTCAGCCACTTCAGCACAATGAAAGCACAACTGTCAATACACAACAATATCCTACAAACTCAGTACGTAACTACAAACCCATATTTAATTGGGATTAGCTTTCAAAGAGAATTCTTCCTGTTCTCCATGTTTGTACCATTATTACCATAAAATAGAGCATGGAGACTTCTCTCTGATGGAGTCACAATGCCGTTTTCATGTTGCATCAAGGGGACTCCCTGTCCCCCGCTTTAATTCAGTTCACACGTTTAAACTGATCAGGCTGCTCAGAAATATCAGCGCACATTTGAGAGTCTTCCCTACCTGTGACTTTCTTTTCATTGTCATCGTAGTTGCTGGATGTCAGTAGCTGTCCAAAGATGAGAGCAGGCACATAGACCTTCTCCACTTTGTGTTCAACAACTGGAATACCTTTCCCATTGTTCCATACACTGATTGTGTTATCTCTCTGAGGGGGAAAAAAAAAAAAGGGTGTTTTTAAGGTTGCAAATGACTGAGCTATGAAACAAGTATTACACAAAAGCTCTGGGGAAAAGCCACCATTTCATCAAGAGCAAATCTCTGTTCAGCAAGTGCAGAAACAGCCAGCAGAGGGAGGACAAGTCAACAAAAAAATTCTCACATCTCCTGATACCGTCTATGAAGTGGACCACCACACATAAAAATCCTCTATCTGTGCTTAATGACAGAATAAAAAGGTTGAGAGGAAGAAAAGAGGAAAATGGCCACAACAGAAAACAGCAACAACAAAAAAGCAGTCGTTTCACAAGTCAGCACTCTGTACCAGACAAAGGGACTAAGCAAAGAAAAAGGCTTTCACAACTGGTGATTTACATTTGGTCCAACTTGAGTCGACCACGTCGCAGAGCCCTCCAATACTACACCAGCTTAGCAGAACAGCATCTGAGTGAGAAAATCTAACGTGCTTGGGAAAGCAATGAACAAAAATGAGATAAAACTTACACATCAATTGTAACTTTAATGCATGACATGCTTTTATCCCTCTGCTTGTTGTCTGCAGCATTGACTAGAATAGAAAGATTATTGTTATTCTATTACATTCTCAATCAAGACAAAACTATTAACTATAAAGTGTCTTCAGTAGAACAAATGCAAAATTCAATACAATGTTACTCATAATCATCTTGGTATGCAAATATTTTGCAAGATACAAAGATGAGTACTACAAGTTAGCATAAAAGGGAGAATTTGAGGCCAAATGAAATTGGTTTTGTAATAGAGCACACCATCATCCCACGAATGGCGTGCTATTAAGTAGCGCTAACGGAATGACATTAGTATCCAATATTTCCAAGCACAATCAACAAAGCGTGTACTCTGCGAACACCGCCCATCAAATTACTTGGTCAACAATGCAACCAGATAAAAGTACACTTGATAAGTTCTTACATTTAGTTCCAGTTCCTTAGACATTCAGTACTCATTAACTCATCAATCATTGACTCAACAGACAGGTCACCTTACCTAGAATCTCATCAAAGATTTTGTATAAGCCAGGCACAAAGGTCACATCTCTGCAGTTAAGGCCCAAGCCCTCATCAAAAACCCACATTTGCTGAAAAGAAGGTAAGAAATACGTAAGTACGCAGGCTCACCTCTCCTCTTCCCTGCCATCAGTTTGTAAAACAGATGTTTTGTGCTTTACAAGCAGATGTTGATGACTTCTCGCCTGCACCCAGGAGTTCAGGCGGTTTAGCCCCGCGGCCCTCCCTTGCCCCGAGCCTCCCCCCGCACCTGGGTGACCAGCTCCACGGAGCCGATGTAGGTGTCGGGCCGGAGCAGGATGTGCTCCAGCTGCGTCTTCTTCTGGTAGATGTGCTCCACCGAGAGCTGCTTCTTGGTGCCATCGCCCTTGGGCACCCGGGGGTTCTCATCCGCGGGCTGCTCGGGGGAGAGACGGCGG